TAAAAGCAGCATGTATTTATTACTGAAGAAAGGCAATCTGCACATTATATTATTGCCATTAACAAAGCATTGTTTAAGTAATTTGTGAAGTGGGAACCTCACTTTCCTTGAGATTCAGAAGCAAAAGCACCTTCAAATGACACTCACTCTGTCAGTATCTCCATAAGAGGTAACTGAACCCAATAGAGTTCTTTAAAGAAGACAGTGTTAACGGCAAGGCGCAGCATGTACGTATAACAGAATTTAACTTTCATAACATAGAGTAGAACAGCATGGCGAGCACAGTTATTAAATCTATCGTGCCAGGATATAAGATTAAATCGTAGGTCTGTGAAGAAAGGGCTGAATGTTGTCACCCCGTCTTTTTGGGTTACAAAGCTGTGTACTGCAGACACACAGATGGCCAAGTCTCCCTCCAGGGCATCCCATGACAGGACAGCTCCGCCCACCCACCGCATCCCTTCGTGCACAGGGTGTGCAGGGCTCTGGCCAGCTGGGCCACCCTAAGATGGGAGGAGCAGTCACCCAGTAGCTACAACACAGGGACAGCCACAGTGGAACTCAGGGCGGCATCAGAGTGTTCAGAACGAGAGACACAGGTCTTGGGAGAGAACTGTGATCCTTGATCCGACCATCTGCTCACTTGTAATTGCTAGAAACAGGCAGAGCAGGAGGGGAAGAGGCACACACAAACATCCCCCGAAATGCATCCACAGCAGCCACCGTGCCTTGGGCGAAGGCTCTCTTCTACGTCTCTATTTCCATGGAAAAATCACCTTGCTGTTTCAGAAATTCCTAGGAAACTCTGGATTGAGAATCTAAACATCTCAAAATAGCTTTAAAAAAAATTCTTTTTATGACCAAGAAACTAGAACAGGAAAAGGCAAGGAGAACCAGACTCAGGACTCCGTGAGACCCTCACTTGTATGAGTTTCACCCATCAGAACCAAAGCCTATTTCCCTCAAAATGCAGGACCCAGGTCCATGCCAGCCCCAAAATCACCACCAACACTTCGGATTATGGAGCCCTGAGGGCAGCAGCCCACACCCCTGCAGCACGCAGCGGGCCAGCCGGGAATATCTGCGAAGCCAGCCGGGCATCCAGAGCAAGCTAAGAAGCACAGTGATGTGCAATCCACGGAGCACGGCCACCACTCACTGCTTTTAACAAGGGATGGGCGGACTGAACTGAATACTGGTTGAAATTGCCCTAGAATATATTCCCTTCTGGAGAGTGGGATAGTCTAAAAAGCCCAGGGCCTTCGTACTGTGTTACAACTCCCATCCCTTTTTACTTTTCACTGGGAGCCAAGGTCTTGCCAAGTCTTTAAATTGCCCAGGCTGGGACTGAGCTTTCAATCTTCCTGCCTCAGCCTCACAGAGTGCTAGGATGGCAAGTGTGTGCCACCAGGTCCATCTCTGAGAGTGATTTTAAGCACAGCCCTATTCCTCCTGCAGTTTCACAGCATATATGTGCATGAAGCAACATGAAGAAAAAAATGTTAAATTTTTAAATCTTTAGATTTGAAATTGAGAGGATTCTGACAGCTCCCAGGTAGATATTTACAGTGACCAAAGACAATTAACTCATTCCATCTACTTCCACACATTTCTCCTAGGACAATGAGGTAAAAGTAGAAAAATTCACAATAGCAACAATTTGAGGCTTGTGAATGTATTCAGCCACATAAAGAAGGGTTCACTAGACATAAGGTGAGGATTTGTGGAAATAGTTACAACGCTGGTACATTTTAGCTGTACTCCCCCAAAGTATAATGAAGTATGATTTCCATACACACACACACACACACACACACATACATAGAAAAAAAATAAGACTGCAGCGCTTAAAGGAAAGGAATATTGCTGAAAGACAGAGGTGATGATGACTGCAACAATTATAGCCTGAATGTGTGGACACATGTCTATGGACAGGATGCTTATCTGCGAGCTCCCAAGGACTGCATGGTTTCATTCTACACAAAGAACTATTATCCTTGTTCCGCTGAGGAGGGAAATGAAGAACAGAGAGGCCGCATATCATCACCAAGCTCACTCAGCTAGCAAGAGAAGACATGGGGTTTTAAACTAGGAAAAAGAGAACAGCGAACGAGAAGGAAGAGACGAGAGGAGAGTCAAATATTTAATATCGCACCAAATCCAATCAGTATCAGGAAGAATTGGGTTGAGAAGATCTGATAGGATGGAGAGAAAGGATGCAAAGTAAAAGCATACAGCTCAACAGATGCAACGTGAGCACATCAGATATTAAACTCTGAGTTATTCTCGGCAGAGAATGGGCCCAGGATACATTAAACTTACACAATTACAAAAAAAAGAGGAGAAAATGTTTTGTCCTGAATGAAGATTGATTTTTTTCAGATGAAAGACACCAACCTAGGATAAGGAAACGTTAGTGGAAAAGTTTCCTAACACTTAGGGTGGAAAGCACGGATTTCAAGTATGGAGGGAAATGCGGCTCTGTCTAGACTTGTTCTCTGCCACACTCAATATGGAAGAAAATGGAGCAAAAGTCACAAAGTTCTCGGGGAAGACTGCACCATCATGGAGCATCCACCCAAGTGAGCAAGTTATTACTTACCGTGGAAGAAACAAGCAATATTCTCCCAGATAGAAAACCCTGGATACCACGTAATCCACATGTATTGCAGGTTAAGAAATGAAGAAAATTCCTTGTCTATTGGAAAGATATTATATTAAGCATTAAGACTATTAGAATATGACATAATTGCTACAAAAATGATCAGAAAATAAGTGAATAAAAATTTTAAAATAAGTCCTCAAGCAGCAAAAATCAAAATAAATATACAAAACATCATCAAAATGGGCGGTGGGCCTGATACAAAACAACGTTCTCTCACAGCGTTTATGCATGCATCCATTTTTCTTTGTTAGGGAGATTTATCCTTATAATTATAACCACTGGAATAAAATATAAAATCAGGATAAAAGAAGTACTTCTATAGCAATGGACAATCATTGCTATATCAATGGAATATGACGTTGTTCTTAGAAGACCTGGGCGAATCAAATGAGAAATTAGCAACAAAAATAACAGCACTTAATAAAGCGGCCAAACACAAAAGTAATTTTAAAGCATTCATATTTTTACTGTTTACCAAAAATAGGCATTTAGAAAATACAGTGGGAAAAACATTCATCTTAAAAACTAAGCCAACTGGAAGTAATAATTATTTTTAAATGTGAGATCCTTATATTAAAAACCACAGAGTTTTACCAAAAGACCAAAAACACAAAACAACACAAAAAGATAAGGAAAAACCTCATGTATCTAAGAGAATACAACAGGCCAGGGAGGAGACATGGGCATCGTGGACCTGTCTGTCACCTTCCCCGTGGCCAGGAGGTGCCTGCCGATCCTGCCGAAATGGGGCCATTCTTTCCGGAACCTTCCTCGGCTGAGAATTAAACATGCCTGCGGTCCTCCGGGGGAGTTGGCGTGTGCACACAGCCCATAGTAATCCTTTCTCCATGCTCCCAACCCCGATGTCTTGGTCCCCTTCCCATTTGCGAAAGAGCCATTCCCTACTTCCTTTTCTCTACCTTTCATCTTGCTCTTTCAGTTATTTATACTTTGAGCTTCTCATAGAAGAGGAAGCAGAGAGACATGTGACATTGAAGCTCATGTGTCTGATTGATTTCGCTTTAGCTTGCTGGTCTCCAGGTGCATCCATTTCCTACACATACTCAAATTTATCCTTCTTTAAGGCAGAGTAGTGCTCCATTACATGTAAATACCACATTTTAAAAATCTATCCGTCTGTTGATGGGCACACAAGCTGTCCCCAAGACTCAGCTGTGAAGCACTGTGCTGCCATGAAGACGAGTGTGCAGGTGTCACTGTGATGTGATGACTTTAGCTCTTCTGGGAAGAAAGCCAGAAGGAGATACCTGGAGCAACTGGAGCTCATGATAGGAGAAATAAGTCTCTTGTGCATGGGGTTTAAAGTGAATGAGAGGAATTTTTTTAAAGCTTCGACCTCCTTCTTCAGCTAGAGCAGATTTGGCCACACTGCTCTCCGCGGGCCTCGGGCCCTAGCCTGGCCCTCACACCCGCCACACCCCTTGGACTCTGCTCACACACACTCGTTCCTCACCAGGTCAACCCTGTAGTGAGGAAAGCATCGCTCCCGCTTCACAGACGCCGAGGGGGCTAAGGGAGGGGAGGCGGCCGCTCGCCCGAGCTGACCGTGCAGAGACGCAGGGTGGAGCGCGCTTGGGTGCAGGGCTGTGGACCCCGGCCTGGCCACGCAGCACGGACCTCTGCAATGGTGTCACCGTGCGCACCACACACGCTGGGCTCAGCGCTGCCTGGGGTCCATGGCCACACTCGCCGGCTCCAGTGGAGCGGCCACTCTCTGGGTCACTGTGTGGAGAAGTCTGCTGAGGTTGCCGCAGGTCCTGCACATCAGAAAACCTCGCCTGCAGAGAAGAGCCCAGTGAAGACCATCACCGGGGACCTGTCCAGCAGGCCAAGGAATGTGGTGAAAGCCAGAAACGTCTTGCACCTTTTTTGTTTGTTTGTTTGTTTTTTGGTTTTTCTCCGGTACCAGGAATCGAACTCACCACCTTGCGCTTGCCAGGCAGGCACTGTGCCACTGAGCTAAATCCCCAGCCCAGAAATGTCTTGCAATTGTAAATGATATTGAAAAGACTTTAGGACACAACATTGAAGTGTTTCAGCCTCTGCTGTCATAGAATTTTTGGCAGTGTCCCCTTGCCTCAATGAAACACTAAAGGCACAAACTGTGCCCCGTGTTTATAGCAGCACAAGTCATACCAGCTAAACCTTGGAAGCAGCCAACTTATCTATCAACAGATGAACAAACAAAGAAAACGTGGTATTTATACACAGTGGAGCACTACTCTGCCACAAAGAAGGATAAATCTGAGTCATGTGTAGGAAAGTGAATGCACCCTGAGACCATAATGTTAAGTGAAATCAATCAGACACATAAGCTTCAATGCTGCATAACTTCTCTTATATTAGAAAGCCACAGTATAAGTAGTTTGTAAAATAAAATGAAGGACACAGTAGGAAATGGGAAGGTAGAGCTTTTGCAGATGGGAAGGGGTCTAGAGACAGACAAGGGGAATGAAAACAATTGAGATGTGTTCCGCTCCTCTGCCTGATCCCTAGGATGAACGTGCACGGTGTGCTGCAAAGACGGACCAATAAATGATAACAAAAGCGAAGCATTCGTTTTGACAAAGCGTTTAACTTCCATTTACAATTTGGAGAAAGGAAGAGAGATGTATGTCTGGACTCTTGCCTGGTGTGTCTCCTACAGAGATTTCTCTGCCAGTAACAGATGAGGCTTTTTTTTTATTATTATTAAAATCACATTATTTGCTTCAGCTGAGCAACACACAAGGGAGTGTAGCTGAGTGCTGAGTCTCACTTGCCACCTCCACACTGCAGCCGCCCTCTCCCCCGGCCCTGGCCTCTGCGAGCCCAGCGGGATTCAGCACCCGCACCCGCTCCCTGGCTGGGGTTGACCTTCTCAGCTTGGCCAGAAGTCGTGTTTCTATCAGTTCCTTCCTTCTAGTCACCTGGACCGAGGCACACATGTACGAGTTGGAATGAACATAACACACCCTTGAGAAACTTTCTTAAGTAGGAGCCTCTCATTCCGAAGAAAATCTTCACAAAGCCAAAACTTCCCTCGCCCCTGTCCCGTCCTCTCTCAATAGCTGACCTTTCTCCGTCCATCTCTTCACATCAGACAGCCCTGACCGATTAACCAGTGGGACTGAAGCCCCTCTTCAGTTCCCCGCTTGAATGTCTCCGCTGCAGTTAGGTTTCGCTCCTTGCTCTCGTTAGGTACTAAGCGGAACCCTCAGGAGCGATGAGCAGCGGAGCGGAAGGCTCAGCGCGCCAGCGATCGGTGTAATTACCTCTGCGCACACCCGCCGGGCCAGCTCCTCCTCGCTAAGCTCATAATTTCTGGTCTCCACTCAAACAAAACAGGCTTTCACAGGCGCTGGCCACCTCTTAGACGGCGGATGCCAAAGGGCAGTTCAGTGCTTGGCATATGCAGATGTGGTCCTAAGGCCCAGATGTGAGAATCTAATGTACAGCACCATTTTAAAATTCAGCATTGTGCTTTTACGCACTCGTTAATGAGGCAGAGTGTTTAATGTCTGCAGTGCCAAAGAACGGTACCTCTGTGCGTCTTACGCCTTCCGTGAGCTTCACCTCCTCCAGAGTCGGCTCGGTCTGAAAGGGAAATCAAAATTTTAAGTAAAGGCTGCCAAGAATGCCCACCAAAACCAGACGGACATGTCCAGAAAAGCCTGATAACGGGATACTTCTTCCTTTGTGTAACCCATGCTTGTTTAACTGATGGCCTTGGAATGTAACTTGAGATGTTTAACTCCCTTAGCAACCCATGATGTCACCCAACCCACCAATCACAATGCGACAAATCTGCCTTCCTACCGCCCCTCTTGCTCTCCCTGTAGGAATCCCAAAACCCTACCAAGCAGGGCTCTGATTCATTGGGTGCAATCCTACTCAGGCCCACCAGCATAATAAACTGCCTCCTAAATCTTCTCTGCACCTTTTCTTCCTGTGTTCGGTCTGTTTTTTGTAACAGGTCCACCCTCCTTCCCAGCACCAAGGGCTGTGCAGGGCTTTCAATGGGGACTGTGGCGTCCTGGTGACATGCTGCCACTCGCACCCTGGGAGAGGAGCTCTGTGGAAATGCTGTTTCTGATGACAGCTCTTCAGATTTCAAATAAATTGGTCTGGCTTTCTGTGCATGAGTTAGTCCAGGAACGGAAGCTAAAACACTGACCATGTCAAGGGAGTAGATGCCTAGGGTAGCATCCAGCGTACCCCTCACACGGGCATGGAGCCCAGAGTCCAGAGCAGGCAGCTGCAGACCTTGCGCTGACCACCGAGGCCCCTGCCCAGCCCCAGCCCCACCTCTGGGACGGCTGCAGCAATAATTTAGGCCAGTGGAACCTGTGGCCTTCTCCTGCCCTCGCCGGTCTGGAGCATATGGTTTGTTCTCCTGACTAATAATACCCCTTCCCCCACAATTAGCTTTGCAGCCTAGGGACTAAGGATTTCTGAAATAATATTAACCCAGGAGGCCAGGGCCTTCTTTTCTAACTAATAATACCCTGTGAACACCATTTGTTTCTGGCATCTCTGCTGTGTGCCTTATGCAATGAGTCAGCTATGAGAGAGAAAATATTTATTGCAGTACCGGGTTCTGAGGAATCAGGCATGATTTAGTAAGTGCAGCAATTCAAAACATGCATTCTTTCAACCAGACGCCTCAAAATCATTACAAAAGAGGTTTAAAAAGTCATACTTAGGAAATTGTTTCCTTTTTCCTTGTAGTATATTCAACACTGTATTTCCTAAGGATCCTCAGCACTCTGGGAGGCTGAGGCAGGAGGATCAAAAGTTCAAGCCTGAACAATTTAGCAACTTAGTGAAACCCTTCAAGAGGAAAAAAGTTAAAAGAGTGTGAGGACTCTGGGTTCAACCCCCAGTTCCAACAACAACAACAAAAAGCAAGTAGCTGAAATTGCTAACTTTGAGGTGTGGGAGAAGTTTTCTCTGGGAAATTAACACTGGTGTTGATAAAACAGCAGGCTCAATTCCAGTTTTGTTGCCAAGGTGCTTTTAAGGGGCAGGTTTTCAGACTCTGGCTGCGGACAACAGTCTTACAAAATAATTCAGCGTTCCCAGAGGATTAGGAAACTGTGCTCGTACTGCTCGGGTTCATGGAAAGGGACAGCAGTAAAACTACCACACCAGTGCTCCTAGGGAAAATCGGACTTCCCTGCCCCTGACAGGTGCCACACGTAATTGACACCTACAGAGAAACCCACCAATCCATCAGCCAGGGAGTGGCCACGTGGCTCCCGGGAGCTGATGTGCTTGGAAAAAGACCACGGCGCTTCCACAACACAAATTTACACTGAACGTAGCTTTCACTCAACTTTACTCACAGGACACAGGCAGCACTCATTGATGACTCATACACTTTTAGGCATCATACGCCAAGGGATATTTTATTTATGATGCATTTTGAACGTTAAGATTTTGTTCAGCTAATGAGAGGTCACCAATAGCTCATCATCTGCAATGCTGACCTCCAGGGATTGAATATAAAAAACAGGAAAAAATCGTACACAGTTTTAAAATTTTTGCCGACTTACCTGCAGTGGTCTTAAGAACATGGATGTGCTTGTACTATGAGTTTCCTAAAACTACATGATGTCATCACAAGAGGTTTCAGCTTGGGGGAGGGTTTTCATAGTCAACTATTATGTGGATGGAATAACATAAATCAAACCCAGACAAAAATGTGTTGAATAGATGATGTTTTTATTTTCTTACCACATTTTTTCACATTACCTATTTTTTTATACATGAGGTTAGGGGATAGTTCCAATAATAGATAACTATTAATGGGGTACATCTCTACTCTTTTTGTTGTTACTGTTTTGAGACAGATCTCCATATGTTGCCCAGCCTGGCATTGAACTCATGGACTGAAATGATCTTCCTGCCTCAGCCTCCCAAGTGCTAGGACTACAGTTGTGTCCCTCTGCCTGGCTCTTCCTGTCCTAAGGTGTCATTTCATGTGGACAGAGCACCCCCCATAGGGCAGATAAAACTGGAGAAGGTCGTCTACAGACTCTTGTCCTACTCTTCTCCCTTTTTCTCCGAGAAGTTAGAGAGCATGGGTACTCTGCTGTTCTTGTGTGCTATGTCTTATTGGACAGCGGTTCCTGTCCCCTCCCTCCTGGGAGGCCACCCATGGTCAGGACCACCTGGAAGGGACAGTCCACTCAACATGGGGTCTGAGTGCGTAAGTCCGTGAGCTCCCAGCACATGAATTGCTCCAGCAAGGTCTTTCTGTAGCCTCAACTGCATCTCTGACTGTTCTTCATTAAAGACCCCAACTGGGAAAATAGACTGCCCCTTCAGGAGCCCTTACATCAGTACTTATTATTTATTACATTCTAGCCAGGTAGGAATTATTCGACATCTATGAATCATAAAACCTCTACAAAGTAATTGTTAGCAATAACAGCAGTGGTTATGCTATCTCAACAGTTAGCAAAAGGCCTCCTTCAACAGAGGCGTTCCTCAAGACTTCTTAAGGATGTGTTGGACTCGTACATAGCAACAGCACCCACACCAATCTGCATTAAATTCCACAAGAAATGACAGTAGTGTCCGCTCCGCCATGGAGAGCGAGTGACCAACTGCAGATGGCTTCCAACAGCGATGCTGGAGATGACCCTGAGTTCATTTCCGTGCCCCGTGATACCCAGCTGCAAAGACGCTGAAGACACGACTTAAATGCAGAACTCAATAAAAGAGAATTTAGTCCTGCTGGATGCTATTTTCAGTAGTTGCTTTCTTTTGACCAAACTGTGTATGAAAATAAAGTTTAGAAGACCCTGAAAGTGAATAGTTGAAATTTAAGTCTGTCATTGTACAGCTACCCACAGAGCAAGTTAGAAGCGTATGTGACTTGTGGGCTGAAGTGAGGGAGGCAGTCAGAAGAACAGGTAATTGTTCCGACGTGATGAGGACCATGAGAGGTGAGGCTGGTGTGAGAAACCAATCACCCAACTTGAGCTGCAGGACAGGGACCCAGGGAGAAGCAGCGAGCAAGCTAGCATCTGCACACGAGCAGAGGACAGGGGACGGGAGACTCGGGGAAGAGGAACTGAGCTGTGCCAAAACTCTTAGAAAAGCACGCTGGGGGCAGGCAGAGAAAGTCCAAGTGGACAGTGGGGGACAGGAGGGAGAGAATCCTGTGGAAGACGAGACCCACATGAAGAGCCACACTGTTGTGAAGACAGCAGGGAGGTCAGACCTGGAGCCCTGCACCTTCGTATTTCTTTGCGGTCATGCCAGCTCCAAACCAGCACCATGGTCTTCACCGCAGAGACTGCAGTCGGGAGTGGAAGCAGGGTGAGGTAGGTGAGAGTGCCAATAACCCCAGGCGCCAGTGGTGTAAGCCGGGACTTGGGTAGTGGCAGTGGAGACCACAGGGTGTAGAATTCATTTGAAACCAACACCTTCGAAAGCAGTATGTGTTTGGAGAAGGTGAGAAAGAGAGATGCCAAGAATGACTCCCAGGTTTCTGTAACAAGACATCTTCCCAAAGAGTTAAAGACATCATGTCACAGTGATCCATGCAGACCCGTGTTTATAGCAGCACAGCTCACAATAGCTAAATCTTAGAAGTGGCCTCTATGTCCACCAACAGATGAATGGATAAAGAAAATATGGTATTTACGCACAATGGAATAGTACTCTGCCATAAAGAAGGATAAACTTTAGACATTTGTAGGAAAATGAATGCACCTTGAGACTATAATGTTAAACGAAATAAATCAGACCCAAAGCTTAAATATTGAGAAACCCAAAATATAAGTAAAGAGAAAATAGGAAATAGGGAGATAGATCTTTTGCAAATGGGAAGCAAGGGGCAGGAGGTGTAAAAGAACGAGATTGTTACATATGTGTACCAACTCCCCCACAGTGAATGTAATCATTATGTACCACAAACATCTAGAAATCAACATAAGAGAGAACACCCTGGAGGACGGTGGCAGCATCGTCTTTCGGAAGAAGCAAAGTGGCATTTGGCATGGGCGAAGCAATAGCTCAGGCTTGGATGTGTCCACGGAATGGTCAAGAGAGAATGTCCGGTGGCAGGATTACAAGTCAGGAGGAGTAATGGACACTGTTCCCATACATCCAGCTCCCAGTCCTTGGTGAGAAATGGGTAACACTCATTGCAAACCAGAATTCCTTCTCCTGTGTTCAGGATTATTGTATTTATTGAAGCAAACTTCAGGTTTTTGCCACAAGACCATACACATCATCGGGAGTTGAAGTTCTGCACTTACAAGGCTGAGTATGCACTCTCCTGTCTGCTCCAGAGTCCACAGAACATTGTTTCTCTCTAAAGAATCACCTGCATTTCAAGAGCTGGGAATACTCTCAGTTTAGGATCCTAAGCAAGGCTTTTGTTTAAAAATTAATTCCATGACGTGAGCGAACGGGCATGGGAGAACAAGAAATAAGATGTCATGTACAGGAACAAATTCCCTACAATGAATGTTATCACTATATATATCTAAAATGTACCAGTAAAAATTTTAAAATGCAAAAAAACTAATTCCAAAGTCCATAAAATGTTAAATCAGGGATTATTTAAAAAATAAGGT